CTCTTAACCTTCTTCTCTCTAACGAAAACAGCCTCAAAACCCTCAGCCTTTCCTCATAAGACCTTCCCTCCATACCAGGCAACATCCTGGTAAATCTCCTCTGCACCCTTTCCAATGCTTCCACATCCTTCCTATAATGCGGTGACCAGAACTGTACGCAATACTCCAAGTGCGGCCGCACCAGAGTTTTGTACAGCTGCAACATGACCTCATGGCTCCGAAACTCAATCCCTCTACCAATAAAACCTAACATACTGTACGCCTTCTTAACAACGCTATCAACCTGGGTGGCAACTTTCAGTGATCTATGCACATGGACACCGAGATCTTTCTGCTCATCCACACTACCAAGAATCTTACCATTAGCCCAGTACTCTGTATTCCTGTTACTCCTTCCAAAGTGAATCACCTCACACTTTTCCGCATTAAACTCCATTTGCCACCTCTCAGCCCAGCTCTGCAGCTTATCTATGTCCCTCTGTAACCTGCAACATCCTTCCGCGCTATCCACAACTCCACCAACTTTGGTGTCATCCGCAAATTTACTAACCCATCCTTCTACGCCCTCATCCAGGTCATTTATAAAAATGACAAACAGCAGTGGCCCCAAAACAGATCCTTGAGGTACACCACTAGTAACTGAACTCCAGGATGAACATTTCCCATCAACCACCACCCTCTGTCTTCTTACAGCTAGCCAATTTCTGATCCAAACCGCTAAATCACCCTCAATCCCATGCCTCCGTATTTTCTGCAATAGCCTACCATGGGGAACCTTATCAAACGCTTTACTGAAATCCAAATACACCACATCAACCGCTTCACCCTCATCCACCTGTTTGGTCACCTTCTCAAAGAACTCAATAAGGTTTGTGAGGCACGACCTACCCTTCACAAAACCATGTTGACTATCCCTAATCAAATTATTCCTTTCTAGATGATTGTAAATCCTATCTCTTATAATCCTTGGTCTCGTCGTCATCTATTTTTATGTCCTTGATGGAATTGAGGAACTCCTGGGCTGAGTGGATCGAGTGGGGTGACTTGCTGACGAGGCACTTCAGTCTCCTTTGCAGCTCGTTGGCCAATCTATGTGATGGCGTGCCTGGCAGGGATGCAATGGGTCTGAGGGGTACTTCCGGTTTGTGTATCTTCAGGAGGCTGTAGAATCGGGGGGTGTTTGTTCCTTCAGGTTTCATTCTTAGGCAGTCTGTTTGAGTCTCTTTAGTGTGTTGAGAATCTTGTTGCCTAATTGTGGTATCAGGCCTGTCTGCACTTGCCGGTACATGTTCTCATCAGCTAGTAACATATGTGCCTTGGAGAGATAGTCCCATTTATTTAGTATTAGCTTCATGCGCCTTTTGATTGCTGGTAGTATTGTGATGTTCTTGTCCTTTTTCAGTCCTTTGAGGGCGTTCCTTTCAGATGCGTTGAGAGTGCCGAGTTTGTTTTTTCTGGTCAGTGTCGGGATCACTGTCTGTCTTATGGCTTGATGTGTTTCTTCATTGATGCCGTTGGTCTTCGGTGTGGCTAGGATATCTGTTTTGTTGGTGTCTCAGTGGTTGTAGTTGAGTCCATGTCAGTATCTTGACCGTGATACCATGGGCTCTTATCTTATTTAGCAACCACCTCCATGGAAGGCCTTTGCCAAGGAGCCACAATAATCTTAAATGGGGTTGTGGTTGCAATCATCAAAACGCTTCCCCACTGTCACCTCAAACACTTGCGCGATTTCATTCCCCAGAATTAGGCTCAGCACCGCATCATCCCTTGTAGGGCCACCTACAGATTGACTGTCAGCACTCCTGTACACATTAAGAAATTTGCCCCCTGTAAACCCCCTACACACTGGATTATTCCACTTTAATATTAAAAGCAGTTGAAATTCCCTAAATTACTCCATTATTGTTTTTAAACACACCTTAGTGAATTTATTACATATCTGCTCCTCATTGCCACTGACTGTAAGAGGAATCTTTTAGGCCCACACAGTGACTGCCCCATTTTTATTCCTAACTTCTACCCACAAACCCTCATTTGGGAAAGCTGCCAAGATACTGCACTGACTGACTTCCCAACTTGACTTTTGTAGCCTCCCTTGTCCTGCCTGAAAATCCTATATCTTGGAATGGAGCTGGAGGAACCCAGCAAGTCAGGCAGCATCAGAGGAGCGAGAAGGTTGACGTTTCTGAAGGGTGCCAAACCGAAACATCGACTTCCCTGCTCCTCTGATGCTGCCTAGCCTCCTGTGTTCCTCCAGCTCCACAGAATTGTCTCCAACTCTCGCATCCACAGTTCTTACTATCTCTATACTTTGGAATATTAAGTTGTCAGTCTTATACATTGCTCAACCACATCCATAATAGTAACAACATCATAGCTCCATTCCCTCAACTCATCTGTCGTACCTCTGTTGCATGGCTTGTTGCCACAAAAAGGCTGCCAAAGACCCATCACACCCTGGTAATGATCTCCTACAACCTCTTCCATCAGGCAGAAGCTGGAACACGCACCAGCAGGTTCAGGAACAACTTCTTCCCAGCTGTTATTAGACTGATGAGTGGACTCCCTAACTTCAAATAACGCTGACCTTGCTAACGTTGATCTCACCTCGTGTACGCCTTGTGCGATATAACCTGTATGCCTCAAGATTTTTTTTAGAACTTTTGGTCTGTACATCCTTGCTTACTATGATCTGCCTGTACCATCTGTAAACAAAGCTTTTCACTGTACTCCAGTACATGTGACAATAAAGTCAATAGAGTAGATCTGTCTATTCTTTCATATTTCATGGGTTTATCTAGCTTCCCCCTCAAATGCATCCACAAGGAGCTTGCACTAACATTAAAACAAAATTTAAGAGAATCAGCAAAAATAACCAGGAGGGTTATTTCTTTTTCTTCTTAATTCATTATATATTTTTTAAAATGGTGTGGATGGCACTGCCTGACTAACTTCAATATGAACACTCAAAGCAATTGGACAAATAACTCAAGGAAGAAAATATGTTCGAACCACTTTCAATTTCACTTTCCAATTCCACTTCCAAATTTTACCTTTCAAAGACCGGTGCAGGCACATTGGACTGAAAGCAGATTTTATTTAACAGTGCTCATATAAACCCTTTTGGATAATTCATGGTTTTAAAAGCAGAAATGTTGGTTACTGTGTGAAAAACTGACCACATACTGAAACTAATCAGAGGCAAAACTTGGACAAGTGTCCAAATAATTTTCAAAAGAGCAATCAATACAGAGTGTGACTGCTATAAACAAAATAATACTATTAAAAGGGCAGGATAAACCTACAGACTTTAGTGTATTAATTCATCCAGGAGGTACCTAATTCGGAGATTTTGAATATTTGATAAAGAGACTTTTTTTTAAAAATTAGGAACAGGAGAGGAGATAGCAAAGAAGATGAGGACAAAGATGGCTGCAGCGAAGAAGACGAGGACAAAGATGGCTGAAATGACAATGAAAATGAGACTGAGACTATGAACAAGAAAAAGAAGAGGCTGCACAATAACAGTGTTCCAAAATCTCAGGCAGCACTGCTAATCATTCAATGACATTTGAGACATAAAAGTGTACATTTCCTTCACTGGCCTTTTGATAAAGGTAGTCTAGGATGGCTCTCTCCAAGCTTACCTCATAAACTGGCTGAAGGCCTTGTAGTTAGTTAAAGTGCGATAGTCATCTTCAGTGAAGACATGGTCAACATCTTCCAGCCCCCAGTCCTCCAGTAGGCGAGCAGAGGTCTTCGGTTCAGCCTGGCGGTGGGTTCAGACAGGGAGGCGATGGTTGAGAGGAGAGGAGGGGGAAAAGATTTAAAAAAAAAAAATATGCAAAATCAGCTGATACTATAGCAGAGACCATGCAGCCCATCATGCCAGCTTTGAAACAGCAGTTAGACTGTTCCCTGTATCCCTGCAAAACATTTCCCCTTTGAATGTTATTATTCAAACTGCTTCCACTGCCCTTTCAGATAGCACATTGAAGATAATAGAATCCTTTTGTCTTACGTAGTGACTTGCAATCTCTGCCTCTGGTTCTTTTACCAATCTATGCCCTATGGCCACTCTACTGAAACCACCATCTTGCAGATCCATCAAGACCTAGCAGAATTTTAGAAGGGAATACTACTCAAGCTTATGAACTCCCACACGGGCCTCTCTACAACATCCCAGATTTAGAAGACAAGAGGCTGCCTTGTATTTGAATCCTCAACTCAACTAAGGTTAAAACACCATGCTCCCTCCCACTTTCGGAAGTAAAGTATCATACACCCGACCCGTCCTCTAGATTTTGTTTCTCCCAATTCAAGTAAACAGGGATGGACAAACACCCTCAGCCAAATTAGCACTCACTATGCACTGACCCACAGCTTGCATCCATTATTCATGGCTGTCAGGGAAGAATACTTTATCCACAACTGACGCAAGATGGCTCTGCATTTCAAGTCTTTGTACAAAAGGGGCAAAAATTTAAATGGGTTTATTTTTACAACAGGTTGCAGAAAATTAGCGTATAATATTTCTGCATATGGGAGACTGAGTGACCTGATCGAGTCTTAATTATTCTGTTCAGCTCAAAGAGGATAAAGATTGCATATATTTCCTCTGGTTTGTTGGCAGAGTCCAGAACAAGGAGGTAGCACGTTAACGTTCAAGTCAGGCAGTTCACAGGTGATAAAAGGTGAACCATTCTGTCACATGGCAGGACTGCACTGGAACAGAACCCCCTCACCCCTACTCCCCAGCATGAGCTGTCGAAGCTGGGGGAACAACTGGAGTCTCAAGATTTGGATCCATTGATTTTCGTTATGTCAGGGAAAACACAGCAAGAGTTAAGAGCAGTCCAGCAGGATCAAAGAAAGCTGCAGTGCTGAATGGCCAAAGCATGGGAAAACAAAATAGGGACAGAGACATCAAGATACTGACCCTGGAACAAGGAGGTGCCCTTGCTGATTGGGCCATCTTAAAAAGTATAAGAGTGAAACAGTTACCTTGCGACCTTCCTCCTCCTCACCCTGCTCCTTTTTCCGTCGCTTAATTTTCTTCTCTTTCTTCTCCTTTCGTTTCTTTCTCTTTTTCTTCCCAAAATCACTGCCACCACTGTCTGATTTCTCCTTGATCTCCTCCAGATCAGAGGCGATTTCATCTTCACTTTCCAGCTTTGAACAAAGCAGAGGTCAAAGTGGATTTTAACATTTCTCCCCTACAGGAATTGCTTGGAAAAGTAAAATATGTAGCCCAGAAACATACTGGTCAGTTGGATTGGATGGCCTAAGTATTTGTGCCTCTCCCATCATAACTTAATTCCACCCATCATCTAATCATTCAACTTTAAATCCTTCTGCACTTATCTAGTTTCTCCCTTCAATTCATCTCACCCACTTGCATAGGGACCAGGTGCCACATTCTCCCCGCTCTCTGGGTAAAGCAGTTTATCCCAAGTTCCCAACTGAATTTATGATATTGATGGGGACGGTTTTTGTATTTCCCCAGAAATCTTCCTTGATGGGTGCAGCTTCAACAACATTCAAGCAGCTTGACAGAATCCAGGATAAGTCATCTGCTCCAATGACTCGCCAACCACCACCTTTGGCATTTACTCCTTGCACTGATGCACAGTGCCAGCAGTGCGCATCATTGACAAGACTCCTCAGATAGCACCTTCCAAAACAGTGACCTGCACCACCTAAAAGAAACTGGACAACAGGTCCACTGAAAAACGACCAACCCAACTTGGATTTCCTTCATCAGCATGGGGAAGGAATTCCGTGAATTGTGACCCAAACAGGAGAGCCTCCACAACATTGACCAACTCAGTTCAAGTTGGCGGCTCACCATCACCTCCTCAAAAGGCAATAAATGCTGGTGTAATCAATATTACTCCAATTTAATTCAAGAATAAAGTAAAGTTAAAAAAACAGAATCCGTACAGTGTGCAAGCAGGCCATTTGGTCTATCAAGTCCATACCAACTCCCTGAACAGCATCCCACCCAGACCCACCCCCTATTCTAACTCCGTAAGCCTGCATTTCCCATGGCCAATCCACCTAGCCTGCAGATCCCTGGACACTATGGGCAATTTAGCATGGCCAATCCACCTAACCTGCACGTCCAGACTGTGAAAGGAAACTGGAGCATCCAGAGGAAACAAACGCAGACACAGGGAGAATGTCTTTGTGGAGTTTGCAGAGTCACCAGACGGTGGAATTGAACCTGGGGTTCCTGGTGCTGAGGCAGTAGTGCTAACCTCTGAGCCACCAAGCTGCCCTTCAATAAAATTTAAAAAGGTCAATCAGGACATCAATCTTCTCTTTTCGAGAAGCAAGATGGAAGAGGCTGATGAATTCCCAGTTCAAAAAGCCTAGAACAAGCTTGTAAGTCACACCTACTTCTGGGAAACATATTCCCCACCACAGTCCCCCACAATAAAATATACCACAGAACATTTGCTGGATAACAAAGCATGGTGTTTTCAACATAACCACAGTTTAAACCTACTCCATTGGTGCTAAAGACCTGCAGGACATTTTTGAATTTACGAAAACTGCAACAGAAACAGAAGTTCCTTCTTTCAAATGCATCAGTGATCACACTTATCCAATGCCTCCCTTGGTAGCATGGTGCAAAAAAGCACTCTAAACACAAACTAGAAACTGGGATAGTTTGTTCAGCCCCTTGAACATGTTTCACTATTCAAATTAAACCACTGCTGCTCTGAACTGAACTCTACTTTCCTGACTATCCACAATTTCCACCAATTCCCTGGTAAGACAACAATCTACCACTGCTCCATGACCCAACCTGCACCATTTGCTGGGGAAAAGAAATCTATAGACCAATGACACCAAGAGAAAAAAGTCAAAATGTCAGTCTTAAACCTATCGCAGACCCTTCTGAAGAAGGGTCTAGGACCAAAACGTCAGCTTTCCTGCTCGGCCTGCTGTGTTCATCCAGCTCTACACTTGTTATCTGTCTTAAACAGGAGATGTTTATACCCAATTCCCTAGTTCCCACAAGGAGAAATATCCTTTCAGCATCCACGTTGAATGAAAAGGAGATTTAAACTATTTAACATAGCCGGAAGAGAAAGAATGTCAATCTTTTTCGCAGCCTGAAACCCAGTAAAGGGCTAGTACCCCAGGATTAGAACAGGTGAGAGAAAGAGAACTTACAGAGGTCAGTAGATGCAAAAGCAGTATGGAAATAGCAGTATAGCTATCCAAAATTACACAGAACAGCACAACACAACAGCAGTCCCGTCAGCTCACCATATCTGTGCTGTGATACTATTCTAAAACTAACCTATCTACCTGCACATGATACATACTGTATCCCTCCATTCTCTGCCTATTCATATGTCTGTTTAAATGCCTCAAAGTTTCTTTTCATATCTGCTTCTACCATCTCCCCTGGCAGCAAATTCCAGACAAATACTACCCTCTTCAAAAAAAATAAATTGCTCACACATCTCCTTTAAACACGCACCCTCGTACCTGACATTTCCACCCTGAGAAATGAAACTCCTGGCTATCCACCTTATCCACGCTTCTCTGAAGTTTGTATACTTCTGTCAGATCAGCCCTCAGCCTCTGACACTGTAGCGAAAACAATCCAAGTTTGTCCAACTTGCCCTTATAACTAATACACTCCAATCCAGGCAACATCCTGGTAAACCTTTTCTGCACCCTCTCCAAAGTATCCACGTCTTTCTATAGCACAATGAACAGAACTGCACATCGTACTCCAAATGTGGCCAAATCAAAGTCTTATACAGTTGCAGCATGACTCGCCAACCTTTATACTCAATGCCCTAACCAATGAAGGCAAGCATGCCCTGTGCCTTCTTTACCACCTTATCCATTTGCTTTGTGTTTCAGGAAGCTACAGACATGAACCCCAAGATCCTTCTATCAATGCTCCTAAAGGCCCAGTCATTTACAATATACTTTCCTATTGCATTTGAAGGAGTGGCAGTTTCTAACACAATGGAAGTTGCAACATCTACACTCTATCATAATGTTGTCAAGATTAAGGGGACCACACAAACTGGCGATACACTGGACAGTATACCACAAATCAGCTCTGTTTTAAGAAAAACAGCAAATTCTATTTCTAATCCTAATGACCCCAGGCACTTCACAGAAGCAACAGTCCAACACAATCTGCCATTAAGTCACATGATGAGACATCAGGACAGGTGACCCAAAAAATTGTTAAAAAGAGGTCAATTTAGATGCATTCAGAAGCCAGACAGTGTTTTACAGATGAAATTTTAAACTTGGATTTTAGACAGCTCAAAGACTAATACAATGTGATGAAGGGTTGAGGTATGCAAGAGGTCGCAATTGAACAGGCCCAGAGAGAGCCTCGTGGGTAGTTGGATTGGAGGAGTTTACATTAAGACAGTGGAAATAACTTAGACAGGGCTATGAAAATTTTAAAGATCAAGACTCAGCTGCATCAGGAGTTAGGTCAGTGAGCATAGGGTTGGAATGAAGTGATTGCAAAGAAGACCTGGATGCGAGTGAGGGCACAGACAGCAAAACTCAAATTTACAGAGGGTGGAAAATGGGAAGCCAGCCAGAAGAATAGCAGAGTCTGGTATCAAAAAGAGTGGGAGGGCTGCAAGGCATGGAGGTATTTCTTGCTTAAGTAGTATGCTGGAGACAGACTGATTCCCTAAACAAAAGGAATCAGATAAAGAATTGAAAAAAAGGAAAGAAAAACCACTTGCACAGCTGGGACAAGGCCAAAAGGAACCCTTGACCAGGCAGCTCAAGGACGGAGGAAACGGACAGCCACGAGAACTAGCTCTACACCCAAATGGGGGATGTTAATGAAATACTGACTGCTTGGGTCCGTGCCAGTGCGTGCGTTCCTCCAACAGGCTGGTCATGGAGTGGGGCTGACCGCGATCGTCGCAAGGGCTGGGGCTCAGACCATCCCGCCCTCACGGTTGCAGAGGGCTGTGTGGGGGTGAGCCGTTCCTGTGAGGAGACAAATAACAAAAAGGGGGGCACAAATTGGGGATGAGAGCATTAACAAACCTATTTCAAATAAATACAAAAAAGGCAACCAGCCAAAATTAAAACCGTGCCAGATGTTGAAATTAATATTTATTCTTTACAAGAAAAAGTTATTTTCACAATACACTTATTTAAAATCAGTCTTGGACAAGCCCCCTACTAGGGAAAACAACAGACAGCAAGTCACCTGGGATGCACACAGTATTTTAAAAACTGATGCCGTGTCTCATCGGTAAACACCAACCTTAAAGCCTGAAAGTCCTAGCCACACGTCTTACGATAGACCCGCACTTTATCAAGTCTGACAGGTTCACTGCAGTACTGAGGGAGTGCAGCAGTGCAGTCTTCTGAAGACTGCATTAAATCACAGCTCCATTTCCCTGCTAGGGAAAAGGGAAACACAGACTGTCTCAAAGCATTGCACGGGGTCAAATGATATCTGACACCAAGCTACACAAGAATACAAATCCATAGGTAGGTTAAAGTCAGTGAAGTCTAAGGAGTAGAGGCTCCACCACAGGAATCCACAATGTAGAAGTGAGTTGAAAGTTCAATGGGTGAGAGGAGGAGATATAGGAGATACCAAAGCATGTTTAAAAAAAAAAAGAAAGAGAGAGACATCCAGGAGATATTGGACTCAGTGGTTAGCTCCACTGCCTCACAGCACCAGGGATCCAGGTTTGATTCCAGTCTTGGGCGACTGTGTGGAGTTTGCACATTCTCCCTGTGACTGCGTGGGTATCTTCTGGGTGCTCCAGTTTCCTCCCTCAGTCCAGAAGATGTGCAAGCTAAGTGGATCAGCCATGGGAAATGCAGGGTTACAGGGGTGGATCTGGGTGGAATACTGTTTAGAGGATCAGTGTGGACTCAAAATGGGCCAAATGGCCTGCTTCCACAATGTAGAGATTCTCTGACTCTTATGACTTCACGTATATGGCTGGAGGAGGTTATCAGGATAGAGCTACATGGCCTCCATAGATCTCTGGAACAGGCTGCCACAAGTTCAGGAACACTTCAGAACCTGGAAAATTTTTCTTCAATCTGATACTTTCATTATCTGCTGTTGTATCCTTGGGTTTGGCACATAAATTCCACTCTGTCGTACCATATCCATCTCCCAGCTCCCAGGTCAGCCACTCCTCCTTCCTTCGAACCCTACGACAGCTCTGGTCACTTTCAGCCTTTCCCACCATCCTCGTGCAGCACTCTTCTGCAGATCAAAATACACCAGAAGGAGGCTGAAGGAGGCCACAGGGCAAAGTGGAGAGAAGAAAAAAAAAAACCTCATTTGCTGCCAATCGACATACAAAATGTACAAATGAGACACTGTCATGTTCTGCTATATGGAAAGAAGGCCCACTCTTGCAATATACCTGACTGTGCCTTGCAAGCTGTGGGGCTCTCCATACATCACACAGACTGCACGCCATCCTCAGGTAAGGCAACGGGCAGAGGGGTATGCCTTCTAATCAACATCTCCTAGTGCTCGGACATGGCAACCCTGGCAAGCCACTAGTCCCCAGACCGAGAATACCTAATGATGAAATGCTGCCGTGCGAGTTCACATCCGCCATCCTGACAGCAGTCTACCTACCACCCCATGTGGAAGTGAAGGGCGCTCTGGATGAAATTTACACCGCTACAAACGCTCTGGAGACAAAATTCCCCAAGGCCTTATTCATCACGGCTGACGACTTCAACTAGGCCAACGTCAAGAGGGTGCAACCAAAAATGCCACCAACATGTCTCCTGCCCCACCAGAGGCCCACACATCCTTGACCACTGTTACACAATCAAATATGCATACTACCCCATAGCCTGCCCGCACTTTGGGAAATCAGATCACAACGCCGTGTTCCTCCTCCCAGCTTACAAGCAGAAGCTGAAACAGGAGCCATCTTCACAAAGTGGTACGATGCTGGTCTGAGACAGCAGAACAGCTTCTTCAGGACTCCTTGAATATGATCCAGTCTGCTGATTCCAAGAACTCAGCTGACAACCTAGACAAGTATGTCACCACCGTCATGGACTTCATTAGCGAGTGCATGGAGGTCTGCGTGCCAAAGAAGGCAATCTGTGTATTCCCCAGGCGGAAACCTGGGATGAACCAGGAAATCCACTGCCAACCGAAGACCAGGCGTGCGGCATTCAAGTTGGATGACACAGACCTGTACAGAAAATCCACATACGAGTTCCGCAAAGCCAGAGATGCCAAGAGGCAGTACCGGACCAGGTAGAAGTCCAAGCAATGCCTACACAACAGGATTCAAAACGAAGCAGAACAAGATGGCAGACAAAAACACACCCCTCCCTGATGCGCTCAATGCTTTCTGTGCACAGTTCAAGCAGAATGCCAGTGGCTTGGCGTCACCTGCACCAATAGCCTCGGATGCACCTGTTCCCTCCATCACCACTACAGACATCAGATCTGTCTTCCCGCGAGTCAACCCAAGGAAAATGACAAGCCCAGATGGAGTCCCCAGCCATGCACTTAAATCCTGTGTGGACCGTCTGGCAGAGGTATTTGCTGACATCTTCAACCTCTCCTTGCTACAAGCCAAAGTTCCCACTTGCTTCAAGAAGTCCACCATCATTCCAGTACCAAAAGAAAACATGTGCAACGTGCCAGAATGACCATCACCCAATGGTTTGGACCTCCATAATCGTGAAGTGCTTCGAAAGGCTGATCATAGCCCACACTAATTTTAGCCTCCCAGCCTGCCTCAATCCCCTGCAATTTGCCTACCGGCATAACAGGTCCATAGCAGATGTCATTTCCCTAGCATTGCACTCATTCCTGGAACATCTGGATAACAAGAACACTTAGGAGATAGCAAGAACTGCAGATTCAGAGTCGATACAGTGTGCAGCTGGAGGAACACAGGTGGTCAGGCAGCATGGTCGTCATGAAGGGTCCCAACCCAAAACGTCGACTTTCCTGCTCCTCTGAAGCTGCCTGATATGCTGTGTTCCTCCAGCTCCACACTGCATCGACTGACTTTCAGCATCTTCAGTTCTTGCCATCTCCTAGTCGCTGAAAACTATATTGCTAAGTCTCTTTCAATGATGCATATTTTGGAAAAATGGTCTTCCTCCCTCTGAAAAGATCTCAGTGGGTCCCTCTCCCACTGCAATCCTCAATGATTTCCTCTGCCTGCAAGCTCTTTGACCACATTCTGAAACAAAACATGTTACTACAGCCATGTCTCCTTTCTTAATACCTGCCTACTCAACCGGTTCATCTCCCATGGACTCCAAACAACGTTCAGACCATCCCAATTTGGACCAAACCCTGACAACTGTTATCTACAGTACCTCCAAAAACTGTTCTGCCTATGGATCCTCAGCTCCACACTCGCAGCCATGTGCCCGACATCTTCTCTCACTACAGTCAGCCTTATCCCAAACTCAGCCTCCCTTTCCCAGATCTGCAAAGTACCTCTAATGTTTTTCATTCTACGCAGGATCCACACACTCAACAAATGTTTATCTCTACCCTATCAGACATCAAAAGATTTCAAGTACACCAAACTCACTCATATTACCTCCAAACACAGACCCCCTCAATTACCCTAGACCCCAACCCCAACTCTAAATCTGACCAGTGCCATTAACCACAGTCTCCTAGGCAGCTTCCACTTCTGCCCATGTGACCGTTGTCATACATGCACCTTCTCCAGAGGGAGTCTCCACCCCCAGCTCCAGCCTAACACTAAGCCCCAGCCCTGAGCCCTCCCCCACACTGAAGATGAACGGTCAGTCCTTTGCAAGAGAACACACCTTCATTTCCCTACACCCATGCATCAATGAATTCCATGCACTCCTTGATGTTGAACTCTTCTTTTTAAACCGTTGCCTCCGCGCCTATTTCTTCAAATGGGAGTCTAACACATCCTCTGCAGACCCCTTCTCCTAACTCTGACAAACCTAATCCCCCGGACACCACCCTCCCCCAACCTTTGCATCTCCAACTGCCATCGCAACATCAATCGCCTTAATCTCTCCATCCCCTCATCTACTCCAACCTCTCCCCAGTGGAACACAGAGCACTCCGCTCCAAACCCAACCTCACCATTAAACATGCTGATAAGGGAGTGCAGTGGTAGTATGGCATACGGACTTCTACAATCGCTGAGACCAGACATCAACTCTCCAACACCCCCTCCTACCATCCCCTCAATTATGACCCCACCCCTGATCACCAAACCATCATCTCCCAGACCATCAATAACGTCATCACCTCATGAGGCCTACCGCCCAGTCTCCAACCTGATCAGTCCACAACCCTGCAACGCCCATTTCTATCTCCAACCCAAAATCCACAAACCTGGCTGCCCCAGTCAATCCATTGTCTCTGATAGAAGGTGGATAGAGAAGCAGATAGGTGGAGACAAGACGGACAGGTCAAGGAGGCGGGGGTGAAGCCAGTAAAGCTGAGTGTCGGTAGGAATTTGGGAAGTGGGTTGGTCAGTGAGCGGGGGGAAGGTGGTGAAGAAGACTGACAGGTCAAGGAGGTGGGGATGAGGCAAGTACATAGGAAGTGGGGGTGGGGGTTGGTCAGTGAGGTGGGAGGAGCAGACAGGTGGGAGGAAAGACAGACAGGTCAAGGAGGTGGGGATGAGACGGGCTGGTCTTGGGACGAGGTCAGGGGTGGAGAGATTTTGAAGCTTGTGAAGTCCACATTGATACCATTGGGCTGCAGGGTTCCCAAGCGGAATATGAGGTGCTTTTCCTTCAGCCTTCAGGTGGCATCATTGTGGCACTGGAGGCGGCCCAGGATGGACATGCCATCCTTGGAGTTGGCGTTGGCGTTGGAGTGGTTCGCGACTGGGAGGTGTTGTCGTTTGTCACGAACCGAGCGTAGGTGCTCCATAAAGCGGTCTCCAAGCTTGGTTTCCCCCGATGTGGCCTCCTCTACATCGGGAACAGCAGATACAATATACCACATTAGCAGATGTGCAGGTAAACATCTGTTTAATGTGGAAGGTTGTGGTACCTACATCGCCAAGGCCAGGCGCCAACTCTGACACCTCCTCCTACCACCCCCTTGATCATGACCCCACCCCCTGACCACCAAAACATCATCTGCCAGACCATCCATAACTTCATCACTTCAGGTGGCCTCCCACCCGCAGTCTCCAACCTCGTCGTTCCCATCTCCTTCCCAAAATCCATAAACTAGACTGCCCTGGTCGACCCATTGTCTCTGCCTGCTCCTGCCCCACCGAACTTATCTCAACTCCATTTTCTCCCCCGGTCCACGAACTCCCCACCTACATCCGTGACACCACACACGCCCTCCACCTCCTCCAAGACTTCCGATTCCCTGGTCCTCAAAACCTCATCTTCACCATGGACATCCAGCCCCTATATACTTGCATTCCCCATGCAGATGACCTAAAAACCCTCCACTTCTTCCTCTCCCGCAGGCCCAACCAGTCCCCCTCCACCGACACCCTTATCCGCTTAACCAAACTCATCCTTACCCTTAACAACTTCTCCTTCAAATCCTCCCACTTCCTACAGACAAAAGGGGTGACCATGGGTACCCACCTGGGCCCAAGCTATGCCTGCCTCTTTGAAGGATACGTGGAACAGTCCCTCTTCTGCAACTACACTGGCCCCATTCCCCACCTCTTCCTCATTATAATCGACGACTGTATCGGCGCCACCTCATGCTCCGACGAGGAGCTCGAACAGTTCATCCTCTTCACTAACACCTTCCACCCCAACCTGTAGTTCACCTATACCATCTCAGATACCTCTCTCTCCTTCCTGGAACTCTGTCTCCATCTCTGGTAACCACCTGGAAACTGATATCTATTTTAAGCCCACCAACTCCCACAGCTACCTAGAATACATCTCCTCTCACCCACCTTCCTGCAAGAATGCCATCCTCTATTCCCAATTCCTTTGCCTCCCCCGCATCTGCTCTCATGATGAGGCATTCCACTCCCAGACATCCCAGATGTCCCAGATGTCCTCGTTTTTCAAGGACCACAATTTCCCCCTCCACAGTGGTCAACAACGCCCTCGACCGCATCTCTCACATTTCCCGCATCTCAGCCCTCACACCCCCTCCCCGCAATAACAACAAAGACAAAGACAGAATTCCCCTTGTCCTCATGCATCACCCCATCAACCTCCGGATTCAACACATCATTCTCTGCCACTTCCGCCACCTGCAATCTGACCCCACTACCAAGGATATATTTACCTCCCTACCAATATCTGCCTTCAGGAGGGACCACTCTCTCTGTGACTCCCTCATCCGCTCCACACTGGCTCCACCATCCCTGGCACGTTTCCCTGCAACCGCAGGAAGTGCTACACCTGCCCCTACACCGCCTCCCCCACCTCACCTCCATCCCAGGCCCCAAGAAAACCTTCCACAAAAGGATCACCGCCCCCACCTCTCTATTTATTTCAGAGCCCCCTTCCCCTCCCCCATTTCTGAAGAAGGGTCCAGACCTGAAACTTCAGCTTTCCTGCTCCTCGGATGCTGCCTGGCCTGCTGTGTTCATCCAGCTCCACACCTTATTATCTCAGACTCCAGCATCGACAGTTCCTACTATCTCCTTGTCAAAGGATACAGTGGGATATAGGTAAATCGCAGATTTGGGCAGAGAAATGCCAGATGGCGTTTAATCCAGACAAATGCTAGTTGATGCATTTTGGAAGATCAGATTCAGCTGCGAATTATACAATAAATTGTAGAACCATTAGGAGCATGGACGTACAAAGTGATCTGGGCGTGCAGGTCCACAGATCCCTGAAAGTGGCAACACAGGTGGATAACCTGGTCAAGAAGGCACACAGCACACTTGCCTTCATCAGTCCAGGCATTGAATGTAAAACTTATGGCTGTACAAAACTTTAGTTAGGCCACATTTGGAATATTGCGTGCAGTTCTGGTCGTCACACTATCAGAAGGATGTGGATATTTTGGAGAGGGTGCAGAGGA